GCTTTCTGACATGATTGCTGGTGATTCTTTTGCTCTGTATCTGTAGAACTGGGACAAAGAAATTCTGGAATAAAGAGGAATCAGGGAAAAGAGTTAACCAAGCCTTATTTAATAATAGCTTAATAAAAGAGGAATATGTTTTTTTTTGGCAGGTTATCTAATTGGTTCAATATCCACAACTGAGTATCTTTATTTTCAATCTTAAAGAACTAATAGTTGACCAGATTCTGTGGAACATGGAAGAAATGGAGGGAAATGCCCTATCTTTTTTATACTGCTGCTACAAAGCTCAGTTAGTATTTAAATATAATAAACCTAAAATACTAAATAAATGTTACATTCATCTACTGTTTCTCTTATCAGTGTCATAACTGAATTCTTTGGCATGAATTTTGAACATAAGATTGATTTCACTGAGTGAAGCAAAGTAAAAACAGGCAGCCATCCAGTGTCCCACTGCTTGTCGTGGCACATATGGACTTGGCCATGATATATGTCCGTGGTTGAATGATGTCCCCCAGTGCTCATCCTGAGGCTAAACCCTTGTCCAGAACATTAACTTTTGTGACATTTTGTATTGCCTGTGTGTAATAATCAGCTTGTAGTGAACCTATCATCAGTTATCCCACAGTAAATACATCTGCACCTATCTGGATTTTGAAAGGTGTGGATACGTGACTCACCACATAGAGAATTGCTTTAATTTCAGCCCAACACTGGCAAATTTACCCCTGGATAAACAATGGCTAAACACTGACACTTTTTTTCAATTGTTTATCTTTCAGTGCTTGTCTCTCACATTTCAAAACATAAATCAGCCCGTTCATACGCATCTACCACAGTATAATTTGTTCTAGCCTCAAGAACTGCCTCTCTGTTGAAGTGCAATGCCTGCAGTAACCTTTAAAACGTTAGCATAGAGCAAGTTGCCTTAAAATTAAACAATTGTTTGTTCGGTGGATTTGCTGGCAGATTTTGTCTTGTTCTATGCAAACAAACATTTACAGATATAGTTAATTACAGACGTATATGCAAAGAACAATTTGGCATCACTACTCTTCCTTTTCTTTCATCTCCTCTGTCCATAACTATTCATTTTCCAAGGTTTCATAACAAAAAGCACCAGGCCTCCCCACTTATTAGTGTGCCTATGGCTCGCTTTCTGAAACCTGGCACTATTCTTGAACCTCATCTTCAAACTGAGTAATGGGAACCCTTTTTAAATCCTTATAACATAGCATCAGCACAACCTCCCAGCAAGTATAAAGGACTACTGTAAGACTTGCTCAAAACACTTTTAAAGCCTGAGTTACTTCCCCTTCTATGAGCAAGTAGTCTTGCTCTAGGAAGAATTAACATCTTAGAATGATGTATCTCACTACAGACTGCACCTCAGTCATCAGGTATGTGTAGCAGGAATTAGTGATCTGTGATCTAGTATCCGTCACTGCTTAGAACAATCAAATGATGAATGCTGAATGACTGTTTTCTTACACCAAATCCTTACGTGAAGTTTTAAAGTGGGAGTATAAGATCTGGTTTGCATATACTAAACATTTTGTCAAGTCTCCCTTCAGTGTTACCATAGACATCTGATAATTATTTTCCCAAGACAAGGAAAGCCACTGAGAGTTTCTGAAAAAAAAAAATCAGTGAGACCTACGTAGAGGTCCCAGAGGCAAAGGGACAAGAGTAGGAGTATGAAAGAACACATTAAAAGCCTTAGGAGATAAATGGAGAGTTTTCAAGAATGTTCATCTGAGTTGACACATTCAGATTAATGACAACTAATGGAATTACTTGCACCAGGGCATCACTAATCAACCATGTCAGATTTCTCATATTCTTCACTCCAAGATCAAAAGACCATTGTATATGTCACCAATATGTTACCAAACAGATCCAACAGATCCAACAATAAACATTTTCTGGTCTAAAGCTATGTCTTCTCACAAACCATAGAATCACAGAATGGCCTGGGTTGAAAGGATCACAATGATCATCTAGTTTCAACCTCCTGCTGTGAGCAGGGTCACCAACCACAAGACCAGGCTGCCCAGAGCCACTCCATCCTGGCCTTCATTGCCTCCAGGGATGGGGCATCCACAACCTCATTGGGCAACCTATTCCAGTGTGTCATCACCCTCTGTGTGAAAAAACTTCTTCCTACTATCTAACCTAAACCTCCCCTCATTAAACCATTCTTAGTTATATGTAAAATGTGGCATACAAAATAGTTATGATTAATTTGTTTTTACAGTATTGTTTAGTTTATCATTTTACTTCATTAATGTATCATCTTTTAAGTACTGGCCTGGCAGAGCTGAAATTTAAAACCTTCTGTTCACAGGCAAGGCATTATTATATAAGCAGCAGCATCTCAAAAAACTTACTTCATCTGCAAAGTTTTGCTAAAGGTGCTAACTGAGGTAATTGGATTTGTGACATGCTCCTCTGCTCACTTGGACAAAACAAAACCTGCAGTGGGAAGGTATTTCTTTGAGGTATTTTTATATGATATTCAGTTATGAGAAGAACATTACATAGAGCTGCATTGCATATCTATATAATAAATATCCAGCTCATTGGGGCTGTTTCTTAAATTACTGGAATTTATCTTGGTGTTTTAAAAAAGTCTTGGAAATAATGATGAGCAAGACTGCAGCCTGAAGGAGTTTATGGGCTGATTTCTATCCTCAAAAGAGCTCTTCAAAGACTTGCATCCTTTATGCTGCCAGCATGCTGTTCCATCTGCAAAGTAAAATCACCACAGAGCTCTCTAGTGTATATGCTGTCTGTGCTTTTATATATTCTAGAGAAAAAAGGGAAGGGTGACATTTTGTTTTGCATAGAAGGGAGGGGAAAAAGAAAATAAGCATCTGTGGCAAAAGCAGAGGAAACGATGCTCAAAGCAAAGAGTGAAGGAGCTTACAGTCATTCGATCTACTGTGTATTTATGTGTTTATTTATCTAAAATATGGCATCGAGATATATGCTACTGGCCTTTACAATTTAATATTTATTATAAACTGCTTGCTGGGGAAAACATTACTGTGTAATGGAAGTGCACACAAGAGAACCTCATGACTCAAAAGCTTTCTGGACAAAAATTCAAACAGTACTTTATCATATACCTATAACTGGCATGTGGCAATTGCTTACACAGCTGAGGCACTCACAGTGAAACTTCCTGAGATACGAACGAGTATACTTTCCACAACACAAAGTTTTAGGACACGAAGTTTGGTCCATTCCTACATACAAGGAAGTCCAAGTGCATTACAACGCGACTGAAAGAAGAGCAAATAAATCTTATTGTTTGACGTAACTTTCATCTCAAATGTTTGAATTTAGTTACCTAAGCATGCATCCGCTTTCTGAAAGCTTTAAATACTTGCTTAGTTGGGCCTGATGTGGAACCCTCTAGAATTGGAGACTTGCAAGTGAGAGAAAACGCCACACTGCTGTGTTTCCAACAAAAGCTTTGAAATAAATGATATTTTGCGTAATAGAACAATCAGAATACTTTGTCTTTATTAGAAAGCCATTATAGAAAACATCTAATCATGTGTGGTGATAAATTTTAAACACAGTGAAGTCAGCCTTACAGGACCCAGTGCGTGACACATTTATCTTTCTGCACTTCATGCTGAGGGCTACAGTCTAAGTTGCAAAATAAAAAAATACACTAGGATGTATCATATTAAAAGAAAAGGGCACGGAAGGTCTTGTCTCAGATTTCAGAAGATGAGGAGGCAAAAGTTAAACACCACATTTCGGTGTATTCATTTCGTGGGTTTTGTGAATCAATACCAAATCGTTTGGCAAAGAGAAATGTAATATAAGCAAAATTGAAGTAAAAAAAAAAAAAAAAAGCCAACGTTCAAACACTCAGAGTAATGGAAGCAATATAGGGAAATGGAAATAACTACAGCAGAATTATTTAGAGAGCCATTAAACATGAAGTTTACGGTGGATTGCTTTATGTACGCTGCCATGAAAAAAAAGAGTTGGCAGCATCTTCTCAAATGAGTGACTTCCGCAATACAAGGGTATTCATTAAAAGCCTCCAATTTTGAACATGAAACTTTTTAAAAATAAGAAGCAACATCTTAAAGGAAACCCTTGTAGGAAACCCTCACAATGTGGCACAGCAGAAGGTGGGGGCAGCCCCAGGGTGCATCAGCAGAGCAGAGCAGGCTTCTGCAGCTACGCTGCTCAGTATCACAAAGCAGGCCTGTGCTAGGTGAGAGGCCCGGCACAGTGACACAGACAGCCGGTGTGACATGGTCGGACAGCCCGTGTGACACTGAAACTCTGGTGTGACTGCAGCCAGGGCTGTGAGTCACCGCTTCACTCTAGAGGGCTCAGTGCTTCTTGTCATCAGGGAATGAAAATGTCACTGGGACAAACGAGTGACAAATTAATGACCCATCAGGGCCACACTTTCAATTTCTGAAGGTGTTAGAAACCAGGCCAAAAATCCAATAGTGTGCCGTAATTTGGGAAAAGCAAACAGACTCCACAGGAGTGAATTCATGAATTCTGCTTATCTACATTTCATGCGAACAGGTAAAGCTTCGACCACCGCAGTGAACTTGCTCTGTGTGGAAGATTCAAACACACAAACTTGTTTTCAGAGCAGAGCCAGTCGTTCGTACGCACTGACGTATTATTTTAACTTGGAAGTGGCAGAACAACGCCTGACCAACCAGTTTTACGTTTTAAACCGAAGAGCACGCCGGTTTGACTGCCAGCCAGTTCGTACAGCACAAGCGCGAGCGGCTCTCGGCACGGCCCGCGCCTGCTCTGAGAACGGCATCTGGAGGCACTCGGTGCCGCGTGCCCGGCGCCCCACTTCGAACGAGCAGCGCGGCGAGGAGCCCCACAGCCGCCCGCGCGACCGCACCGCGCAGGCCGACGTGAGCAGCACCGCGTCCCCGCACGGGGCGGGCAGGGGCGGGGCCAATGCGGCCGGAACACGCCCCCGGGGCGGGGCGGCGGGGCGGCGGCAGGAAGGGGGTCGCGGGGCGGCGGAGCGCGGTTGTTCTCGGTGTCGCCGGGGTTGCCGCCAGTAGAGCAGCAGCGTGGCCGTGGCCGGTGGTTCTCGACTTGGTGAGTTCCGTGCTGCGCGCGGCCCGGGAGCGGAGCGGAGCGGGGCGGGGCGGGGAGGAGAATAGCTTTGTCCCGGCGCTTCGCCCCGGATCCGCTGCGGGGCCGGTCCCGGTCCCGTCTCGGGGCAGGCGGTCCCATCCTTGGGGCGGCGGCTGCCCGGCTTCTCGGTCAGGCACGTGTGCCGTGCCGCTGCTCTTCGTCGGGCCGTGCCGAGCCGTGCCGTGTCGAGCCGTGCCAAACCGTGCCGTGCCAAACCGTGCCGTGCTGAGCCGCCTTAGGCGCGGCGCCTCCGGGCCGCCTTTGCTGTCCCACTGCGCTGCGCTGCAGCCGGAGCTGTGCCGCGCCGCGCCGCTGGGACCGAGGGCCGGACCGGGCGCTTCCCCACCGGCGAAGTTTCCTCGAGCGCCCCCCGCGCGGAGCGGGGCGGCTCCGGTGGAGCGGCGGCGGCGGCGGCGGGACGGTGCTGGGAGGCGGCGAACGGGGCGCTGCCCGTGCCGCTGGGGCCCTGCCCGCCGCGGGTGGCACGGAGCGGTGCCCGCGGTGTGTTCCGGACTTTAGGTTATTTTGAACTGCGATGTTATGGCTCCCATCGCTCCTTGGGAGTGGCTTTCCTTTCTTTTTTCTGTGTGGGGTTTTTTGTTTTTTGTTTTTAACTCTTACGTTAAGTCCCGCGCGCCTGTCTGTGCGGGTTAACGCAGTTGATTTGTTTCCCTGTCCACCATCGCTTTGCGGGAACCGATAGCTGGGTTCCACAAACCGGATAACCGGGTTCCCCGGGTAAGCGGGGCGCGGGGAAGGTTGCGGGAGCCGCGCAGCGCCGGGCACAGCCGCGGGCGGCTCGGGTAGCGCGTGGGTCCGGAGCGCGGAAAGGGAAGCGGCGTTACGCGGCTGTAGTCCTCTGCTGCAGTCCGCTGCTGCTCCGGGACTCCGTGTCCGGCACAGCAGTGCGAGTCCACCTTTAAGGAGGCAGGCGCTGTCACGGATCCTTCCCGTGAGATGTCAGTGTAGAAGGGATAGGCCCTTTATTTTCTTTTGGATTTGGGTGTCTCTTCACGTGAGTTGCAGTAGTTGGAAGTGTCAGTGATGAATGTAGCTTTTGGAAGAGTACATCTCAATCTCAAAATCTTAACCGAGGGCTTAAGCCCAAAATCTTAACCAAGTAGAGTGTTTTGTTTTGGGGTTTTCTTTTTTGTTGTTTGTTTTTTTTTTTTCCAGCTTGCGTTTGTGGCTCAGATTTGGCCTCTGAGCACCCTAGGTGGAGTGATGCTGCAGGTGGGCTGGCAGCATGAGGGCTTGAGAGTCTGAGCCAGAACACTGAGTCACCTCTTGTGTTACTGGTTTTCTTGTCAAGTGAGATGACTGCCAGTCCACTGAGAGCTGGATAGAGCAGGATGCAAAGGAATCCATGTTTACGGATGTTGTTTCTCTGCTTGCTGTTTATTTCACAAAATGTTCAGTTTGAGGTAGACTTTGTTCTTGATTCCTTGCATATGGATCCTGGTGAGTTGTGGTGAGAAATACAAGAATGCTGAATGCAAGCTTGTTTTTCGCACCTTCCTTCTATTTTTATGCATGGACATTCCTCAAAGGGAGCCCGGAGTTGGGATTTCCGTAGCTCTCACATAGGGCATAGGATGGAAGTATCTGTGTTGCAGATGTGAGGACAACAACAGGTATGATGAAATGAAGATTGCTTCTAAAAGTCACCTTGCAGCTTGCTGGTCTTCCTTCTCTGGTATTTGAGATGAAAAATTCAGTAAAGCTCCTGGGATGCTTCTGTGTGTGGTTGTGCTATCCCAGCATAGTCAGTATCCGTATATCCACAATCAGTGGTGCGAAGAGAGGTCTGGAGGCCTGATTGAGCCAGGCAAGTACCTTCTGACAACAGAAGGCTGCAGTTTGAAGGAAATGAAAACGGTTGAAATACATGTAGGTTAAAACTGCTGAATGGCAGCCTTTCTTCCCCTCTGTTTGATAGGGCTATCTTCACTGGAACAGGCTGCCCAGGGAGGTTGTGGAGTCTCCTTCTCTGGAGATATTCAAGACCCGCCTGGATGCCTACCTGTATGACCTGGTGTAGGGAACCTGCTTTGGCAGGGGGGTTGGACTCGATGATCTCTGGAGGTCCCTTCCAACCCCTACGATTCTGTGATTCTTTCTTTTCACTTTAACTTTTTATCTGTTTTCTTTAAGGCAATCAGTGAGAATATGTAAATAACGCTGAAATACTTCGGGCTGCTGAGGGACAGTGAGACTTTCCACCTCACTCCTTAATAATACTCTTCATTTCTCTTTGATAAAGGGCTGGTTTCCAATTTCCTGTCAGTCTTAACTGTGCTCTGGTTAAAGAAAGCTAAAACATTTTTTTCTGAACAGCAATTCATTACCTTTCTACAGAAGGATGCAAAGGCTTTAATATGAAAAGATATGTTGTGTCAGGATTTCTTAAAACTTAACTGATTATTTTGTAACTTGTTTTAAAACAGTGTGGTTAACAGATTTTTAGGAGAGCTGCTTTGTATGTAAGATGATGACAAATTTCTGAAAGTAGGAGATGAGCTCACACAAGACTGAGATTTAGACTGTGACCATGTGAGCAAAGAACAGGTACTGACAAAGGCGTAGGTAACATAGGCATAAACAGGAATCAGAATTCATGATCAGTACTGGCTTTTGAAGCACTGCTGTTCCTTAGATGTAAATCTCTATTACGCTGTTATTTGTTTGTGTTTTTTTGTTTTTGTTTTGTATTGAGAAACAGATTGCACAAAGGGCCCCTTTCTTATCTCCTGTGAGAATGTGAACAAAATGTAGAAGTAGTCTTCAGAGGGTGTGCGTGTAGGTACATGTAGAGATGCCAACGGGAAGACAGCTTTTCTGATGCAGTTAATAGAGATAGGCTGCCTGACCTCTGTCTGATGAAGAGGCTTCACAGTCATAACCCGGGCTGTTCAGGCTGCAGAACTGAACTTCTTACATCTGCATCTTACATCTGATGCAGTGTATTTCCAGGAAAAGGGCATGTTTTAACATTCCATGGTTCTGCAGTAGCCAAACAGAATACGTAATCTGATGAAGTCAAACAGGTGAAAACAGCTCACATATTGCACTGCTCAGAGAGAAGCATAACTTTTACTTTGAGCAAAACCCGTGTCAGTCATTTGCATTTATTATCTCATAGGTCTTTAATCCTTTCCTACTCATTCTTTCACACCCACGTGTTCATGAGTATCAGGACTGATGGTATCCCATCAACCTGACCAGGGAGTAAGGGATGCTGGCCATCAAGTCTTCATTATATCTTTTGGGTTATTTGTGACTGATAATGAAGTTGGATGATCTTTGCTCTGTTTGTGTTCTCTTCTGATGAAGAAGGATGAGGGTAAGGCTGAGTCATACCATGTATTTGTGGCTTCCCATGTGTGGTATGCTCTTGTATGTTCTACCGGAGTCTGCCAGTTCCTCAGTTATCAATATCCTTTCTTGGATTTCATTACTATTCTCGATTTCTTTATTTGCAGCATCTATATCATTCGTCTTACTCCTGCTCTGGTTATTTTAGTCTGTGCTGATTTACGTTCATGCTCTTTGTATGGTAAATAATATTTACCATAGAAGTCTCTACAAAAGAAGGAACTGAGCTGTCCGTAGAGGTTGTGGATGCCTGGATGCCCCATCCCTGGTGCTGTTCAAGGCCAGACTGGATGGGGCTCTGGGCAGCCTGGTCTAGTTTTAGATATGGAGATTGGGAGCCCTGCTAGTGGCAGGTTGGGCTTGATGTTCCTTGAGGTCCCTTGCAGCCCAAGTTATTCTATGATTCAAAAGGTTGATTCAAAAGAAGTGCATTATGGATCTGAACATTTGTTTGTTGTATCATCTGTGTTGTGATCCCCAGTGTGATGGGTTAGTCAAGGCTTAAATAATGACGAAAAGTATTTGTTCTGGTGCTCCCATTGGAGGCTGAAAGTGGCCCACTCATTTTCACAATTTTCTGTGCCAGTGTGGTCCTCAGGTCTTTAATACTTAAGAAAGAAGAAAGCAAATGGATTATTAAGAGAAGTATTTACATTTCACTTAAGATTTGTGAAATCTTCTTATTAAGAATTGTGACTGTTTTTCTTAAAGGCACAATACTTCATTAACCCTGAATGACCACCATAAAACTGCATATCTTTAGTTTGCTTTTATTCCTCAAGTATACAGATGATTTTTTTTTATCAGTTGTGCATTTGCTTTCTCTTGTCAGCCTGTAAATCATGTGTTCCAATCTTCATAATAAAAGTCTTACTCATATTAGGACATACTCTGGATCATTTTTATTTTTTTGTCTTGTTTCCAAAATGTTCGTCAAATTTCTAGCCTAAAATAATTCTTTGTCCTCACATGGTCATTTGTTCTGGTTTAGTATGATGCAGTAGTTTAATTCTTACGTCTTTCCTTGTGATCTGTGTGAGCTCTAGCTTTTTTATAAAGGTCAATCATGTTTTGTCTTATACTGCTAGGTTGAGTGATCCAGGCTCTCACTTGTAATGTTGCTGGGAAAATTAACAGCTTATTATGAATCTAGTAGCCCTTTCTCCTTCTGGATGCAGCTTGAATACATCTCTCTTGTGTATTGTGACTGGGACTGTGCCTGGTATTCCAGATGAAGACAGTGACATTAACATAAGCACATCTGTGATGGAGTGAAATTGGAACATATCAAATTACTTTTTATTATTATTTGTTGTTATGAATATGTAATGGTAACTTTTATTATGTGGTTATCTGAAATATTTTTTCAGCTGATAAAGTGATAGATAAGAGTAAGAAAAGCCTGTGTAGTTGGCATAAGCATAAATTCAAGTATTTGTTTTGATTCTCAAAATCTCCAGATTTTTTGTGATATTCTGGGCTTACTGAGAATAAGTACTAATATTTCAGCCCTGCTTCAGCAGGTTCTGTACACATACTTCTGCATTTCATTCCAGTTTTCTATATACAACTATTAAGGATATATA